CCTTGTCCCTTCTAGCAGGCTCCTGTGCAAGACCAAGACCATCACAACAGCAGATCCCTTACCTCTCGTGGATGACACCGCTGATGGGAGGCAGCCAGTAGATGCTGAGGGAGTCCTGAGTCTGCCCCGTGACCATGGGAGGGATTGGGATGGGTGCGGGCTTCTTGCTCTGACCCCAGCGCTGGTACACCAGGTCCAGGTAGCAATGCATCCGGGCCACTTGGTTGGGGGTGAAGGTGTTGGTGCAGTCATCGTCTGGGGGAAAAGAGGCCAGACTGAGGGTGGCAGAGATTGGCCAACGGGGCATGGCAATGTGCACCCTTCCTGATCTCCAAACTCTGTTTTGGGGACCTCAAGGGAGACCTGGGAGACACCAGTATGTGGTGGCTATCCTGCCAGGACTCTCTGCTGTCGTGTGTCCCCAAAGCCACAAGATGGCACTGCCTCAGCAGCTCCACATCCCTGCACTTGCCGAACACCAGCTCTAATGCCTGGGTAGTGCCACCATCCTCATGGGACTTGCAGTGGGTCAACAGGGGGTGACAGAATTGCTCTTCAGGCTTTCGTCCTCCTGGGCTGCCAGGATGAACACCAGCCCTCTGTGGCATGCCTTTGGAAACCAAGCCAAAAGGGCTCAACTCAAAGGTCCGAAATAATAGTAGTAGTAGTAATAATAATAATAATGTTGCTTCAGGACTGGAGAACAAAGGCACACCACCACGCAAACAAGAACAGCCTTGATGCATGACCAATGACAGACTGGCAGGGAGGGAGAGATGGAAACAGCCTGCAGCAAGAAAGGGGCTAAGAAGCTACTGCTAGCACAGGCTGCAGCCTGCCACATCCCAACGCATGAGGAGGGACCACATCAGTTCGGGAACAAAGGAAGGGACTATCAATGGAGGTGGAAGGGAGAGAAACCCAAGTTTCTAGGGAAGATGACCCCTTACAGTTTCTAATGACAATTACTCGTTACCTGTGTAACTCATGTAGTTGTTGAAGGGTGTTCCTGTGAAATGTGTCTGGCCACAGGTGTCATTGGTAGGGTCTGGATCCCGACAGAGTTTACTCTTTGGGGTGGGGGCAGTGTCGGCACAGAGGTCTCCCGTCTCCATAGACGGAGTTGTCTCCCTGCAGGGATCATCACAAGATTCCCGCTCGCTCACTCCCTTAAAGACATGGTACAGCCCCAGGACATGTCCCACTTCGTGGATCATGGTGTTCGTGTGGCCTTGCATACCGTAATAAGCAGGGTTGAGGACAACTCCACCTAGAAATGCAAGTACAGAGAACATTATTCAGACAGAGAGACAGCTGCCGTTACTCACCTGTGCTAGGTAAAACTCCTCCCATTGTGCTTCCAGGTCACAAATGAGGTGCCAGATGGAGATCTGAAGATGGACATATTCACCCTCTTGTAGGATGGGAGGAGGGCTCTTTTGTCCTCTTGGAGTGGAATAGGCTGGGTGGTTTTTCTTCCCTTTCTGATCACACCACTCCCCCCAACATCTTCAATCATTTCAGCTACCATTTCCCTCTGTGTCTTTTCACATGTTTATAATTCAGTGTCTGCTTTGGTTCACACTTACAACTCCAAGCGAGGTTTGGAGCCAGGGCACCAAACCAAGACATGCTGTGAGTTTACAGGGATAATCTTTTGAACCAGAAGACCTTCCCTAGCCTAGACAGGTGGCTAAAGCATGCCAGCTCCCATGGCAGGTGTGAACAGCGAGGTGCCTAATAAAGTCCTGACACACTTGGCTGTGCCAACTAGAAGCCACCTTCAGCACAAGTCCATATGAAGATTGCATTCAAATGCACTGCCTCTGGCCCCTACTGAGAAAACATCAATGATCTACTGCTTCAACGTCCAAACCAGACCCTAAGGAGTAAACTAAAACTCTCATGAGGTGCTGTTGCAATCCACTAAGCTTCTACCACAAACCCGACCTGAATTCACAGTGTATTTTAGAGTGGGATTTTCCAAAACGCAGTTTCTGAAGATCCCTTCCTCCCCTTCAGAGGGGTTTGCATGTGGGCAAGGTGCACCAAGTGCACCCCCCACCCATCACAGTCCTACTCCTCTTCACTGGGGCACCCCAGCACCTTGACTCAAGGGGGCACAAAGGAGCAGTTCATCTCCAAGCCAGTTTCGTGCAGGTTCAACTGTCAAAGATGCTGGAGCATGGGTACAAACTAAGTCCCCCAGAAACTGACCAGAGCTGCACCTCATACTGACAGCAACAGAATAGAGCTGGATAGGGACCCATGCTGATCCTGCCCTAAGCTGCCCCTTGGCTGCAGGACAAGGTGCTTTTCCTCTCCTGCCCACCCACCTGCAATGGGAAGAGCAAAGATCTATGATGCTGAGGAAAGCCAGGTGCAGCAGAGCCTTCCTTTTGCTCACTGCCAGCATCTCCAACTCCTGAGCTGGGATGCACACCTTGTACTGACCACTCTGTACCACATCTGCTGGGAAACTGTCTACAGAGGATGCTCAAGAACAAAACTTAACTCTCTTCTCTGGCCTCCTTTTATTTCTTTATTTTGCCCAAATGAACGTCTCTTTGGAAACTCCTCTTTTTTCTCCCTGCTTTGAGACTTTTCGTTAGCCTTTTCCTCTCCCTTCCTCTTCTCATTTCCTTGCTCCATCCACTTTTCCATGCTGCCTTATGGTGGAGGAACAAGGGCTGGCGAATATCAGCAAGATGAAGGGACAAAAAGCAGACCCTAGTATGTGCCCAGGCTGACTCCAGGCAATACCCTCCATGGCATGGGAGGCTGTTTTTACCCAACTACTTTGAACCCAGACAGCTTGGATGGCAGTGTGGTGAATAGTTGGCTCTGGCACAGCTTGCTCCCTCCTTTACAGGGCCCTGGAGGATTTACTGTGCCAGCTACCTCACAGCAGAGCCTCTGCTACTGCATCTCTGCTGCTGATTGTTGCCCCTGCCAGCAAAGTTAAAATTGGCAGAGGGCCACCGTGTGATCCTGCCTCCAGCCACAGCATAGACTGCTTGAAATCTGCTCCTGGATCAGCTCCGTGCACTACTGGACTACCTCATGTCCTCAAGTACAGGGCATTCCTTCCAAGAGAGGGCTTTCTTTAGATCAGTGTCCCTGGCAGGACACCAGCAGGTCTGTGACTCCTCTGGTGGAGCCATGCTGGGTGAACATTGGGTTGGGGCTGGAAAGGGGCCTTCAGAGATGCCCTGAGCAATTGTCTCGAGCCCAGCAGGGTTGCAAGAGGGTGAAGAAATAAGGGTGGCATCTTCTATGGAGCATCCTGCATGTGTGGCTCATGGAAGGGCTGAGGGACACCACTGACCTGTCAAGTGGCACCATTTCTTACCTAAAAATTCATGTTTGTTGTTCTTCCTCCCCACAGTGTGGATCTTATGCCCAGGGCAGCTTGGCTTAAGGCAAAGGATGGGTCACAAAGTAGCTGCATTCCCTTTCTCCCCAGCTGTAAAACACCAGAGCAGAGGACCTTGCATCCCATCAGTCAGCTCTTGACCCTTTAGTTGACTGGAGATGGGCCACAAGAAGGCACAGAGATTGAAAAATCCTTTTGGGACCTTCATGTTGTGTCCTGTCAGTCATTAGGTTTTTGCAAGCCATCCCCCTCTCAGTTACCAGGCTGGTAAATGCTATAGACAGCAAAGGGCATCCCATTGATGGAGAGCCCAGTGGGCACAAAAAAAAGCTACTTCTCATTTTAATCAAAACAGGGCATGAGAGAAGAGAGAACAGAAAGAAAAGGCATCTCTGCAGCCAAATCCAAGCCTGAGCAAGGCAGGGGGCTGCCTGCCCAGAGGTCTGAAAGGAGGAATGCACACACAGAAAGAAAATATTGTTCGTAAACAAATGAGATGTGAAAGCCCTGCATGCATCCTGCGGCACTAACCACAAGAAACGGGTCTGAGCACCAGGGGCACGGGAGGCCCAATGACCAAGCAGCCCT